TTCCTTCCTTCCTTCCTTCCTTCCTTCCTTCCTTCCTTCTTTCCATTTTCCCCCACCAAGAATATCCTGTTTAGGTTAAAGCCTCACCCAAGTCCCTGGCATTCATATACCCCAGGAGTCTAGAATGTTTGGATTAAGGCTTCACCCCAGCCCCTGGCATCCATGTATCTAAAGAGTCTGGAATATTTGGGGAAAAGTACCATCCCAAGCCCTCTTCCCTCAGTCCAGACTCCACCCATAAGAAAGCCTGCCAAATGATGACCTCTCCCCAGAGATAGTCAAGACCACACCCAAAGGGTATTTAAACTGCCCCCAGAGAACAAACGTGGTTTTCTGGTCTTCCTTCCCCAACTACTCTCTGGGGTGCTGGAAAGTCATCCGGGAGTGTTGTTATCCATTAAACCTGGGCTTTTTTTTAATTCGGTTTGATTTGGTCTGATTTGGATCATTGCCTTGGTGGAGGGGCTCATTGGGGTGCAGAAACTTTTTATAGCCTAACTGTTTCAGGAACCGTTCTGTCTGGGGCTAGCTGACAGGGCACATTCAAGGCAGGAGCAACTTCCTCATGGCTTATACAAGCGAAGAACAATTTTGTTTTTTCATGCTTAACATGGTAAATTGATCCTCTAAACACAATGTTCACCATCACACTTCAAACTCAGCGAATCCTGGCTGTTAGAAGGCTACAGACCATCATGGTGGCCTTGCTCACGGAAACTTGCCTGCTGTGTTTCCTCTCTGCATCTACTTGTTTGTTTGCTGTAATCTCACCTATCGGCCGTCTTCAAACAAGAAAACACAGGAGCAATGAAGGATGCCTGGTCAGAACTCTGGCCCTGCACCATGTGTCTCAGTGTGGAAGTGTGTCTGATGCAGGTTTTGGGGAAGATCACAGTTTCCTAACAGCCTGGAGTCAGCTGAGCAGACAGCAAACTCCTGACTGCAATCAGAGACTGGGTGTTCTGGCCTTGTCATGGAAGCAGCAATAATCATGTGATATTCACATCAGGGAATGGAGGGAGATTTTCCCAGCAAAAGTGATGTGGTGAGCATGGGGCAGGATCCATGTTCCTTTCAGAGGGCTAGGTCAGCTCTGCAGTCACAGCCACTGTCCTCATGGAGGAGACTGGCAAATTCCCTCCCGATAGTGATGAGACGAGGGGGGCAGCAGAGCAGAGCCTACTCCATGTTCAATTTGAGCTGGTGCACATTTCTTTCAGGTTTTAGTTCCTGCTTTGGGAGACTAACAGGCTGTTTCTGTGTCCTGCTTCCTTTATGTATTGGTGCTAAGTGAGTGCCTGGGAGCACAAGGGTTAGGGGGAGAGATTCAGAGCTTTGTATCTCAGTGAGTCCAGCACCCCAGCTCAGGGACACAAGGGCTACATCTCCCCATGTCTCACAGTCAGTATTGTTTGCCCCTTTATGCTCCTGGGTAGAGACCCTCCTCGGTAGAGCAGAATATAGTGAACCGGGCGTCAGGCAACTAGCAGTCTGTTAGGCAGGAAGGACTTCATCAATGGACGTAGTGTGCAGACACAGAGGACAGCCAGAGTCACCCATTCTGTCCTTGAAGCTGGGATTTGTCACAAATCATTGGGTGTCACAGTCCAGTGTTGTGTCTCCTCAGTGGGCCCAGGCCTGTGGGTTATGTGCGCACAGGTAATTGTTTAGCAGCAGTGTGTGGGATTAATCTCCCCACCCGCCGTGGAAGGAAAATGGGACGGCTGTCTGCTTAAAGTCATCACTTCTCTTCTTTAAAAAGATGTTTTATTTAGGGCTGGAGAGATGGCTCAGAGGTTAAGAGCATTGTCTGCTCTTCCAAAGGTCCTGAGTTCAATTCCCAGCAACCATATAGTGGCTCACAACCATCTGTAATGAGGTCTGGTGCCCTCTTCTGGCCTGTAGGTATACACACACAGACAGAATATTGTATACATAATAAATAAATATTTTTTAAAAAAAGATATTTTATTTAGTTTTTATTTTAAAAAAAATTAATTTTGCATGCTAATCCCAGTTCCCTCTCCCTTCCCTTCTCCCACCTTCCACCCCCCCATTGTTGGGTATGGGGGGGGTCACACAATGATGGTGACAGACCACCAAAGTCTAATAAACCAGAAGCAAACTTTATTCCAGAAACCAGACTCAGACAAAAAAAAAATTAAAAATTAAAATAAAAAAATCTCCATGGGGCACAAAAAGCTTATCAGCTAGCTGAGACCACAGCCAGAGATTTTGTAAGGCTGTGGCAAAGACTGGATTCTGAACCCACCTTTTTATAGTATAGGCACCAAGAATTAGGTCTGAACAAAGGAATTTTTACAATCTCAGGGTCAAATTCAGATACAGATTGCCTTACTTTACAATCTCCATTAACAGAGTTTTTTTTTAGTTAAACTAGTGTTTGTACTTACTATTGTATTAGTACTTCCAGGAGGTGTTTACTGAAGCCCTGTGCTCTCCCCTTGGATGCTGCCAGCTTCACAGAGCAGGGATAGTGCATAACCCAGAGGTCATATATCTGTCTCCTAAAAGCTGACTCAGCTCATATCCATAGGCTAGCTCTCAGTTTGCAGAGAGATGCTTTGGCCTTGTAAATTCAGCTATGGGTTGTAAAGTGGAGTAACCCACTGTTAATAGTTAATCCTTAAGCTACTAAGAAAGCTACTGACAGTCTTCTCTCATTCTCCTAGGTTTACAACTTTATATTTCTTTATTTCTCCATTCCTAGTTCTGGAATCTACATTTTTATATTCTTATTCTTGGACCCTTCACCCATCCTACCTCCATCCACTCCTCAGAGGGTGTAAGGCCTCCTTAGGGGAGTTATCAATGTCTGGTATACCAAGTTGAGGCAGGACTGATCCCCGCTCCCCTATATCAAGGCTGAGCAAGGTGTCCCACCATAGCGATGGGCTCCAAAAAGCTAGTTCATGCACCCAGGATAAGTCCTGGTCCCACTCTCAGTTCCTCCCAACAGATCAAGTCACATAACTGTCACCAACAATCCCATGTAGGACCCCCTGCTGTCAGTCCAGAGTCAGTGAGCTTCCACTAGCTTGGGTCAGCTGTCTTTCTGGTTTTCCCAATCATGATCTTGACCTGCCTTGCTCATATGATCCCTCCTCCCTCTCTCCAACTAAGCTCCAGGAACTCAGTCCAATGCATCTGCTTCCATCAGTTACTGGATAAAGTAATCCACTGTTGACAGTGAATCCTTAAGCAGCTGAGAAAGCTGCTGACAGTCTGCTCTCTTTCTTCTAGGCTTTCAGCTTCATGTTTCTTTACTTTTACATTCCGTTTTCTGGAACCTACATTTCTATATTCCTATTCTGCAACTCTTCAGAATGTATCCTGTCAGCTGGCCCCAAATGGAACACTTCCTGGTTCAGTTAACTTATTCTTTAAAAAAAAAGTCTATTTGTTGGATATTTCAATTTCTCAGCTATTCCTACAAGGTAATTGATCACCAATTAAACAGGCTAACGACTAAGGTCTGTTTTTGAATAAGACGCTTGTTTGCTTGCTTGCTTGCTTGCTTGCTTGCTTGCTTGCTTGTTTGGACGTCTTGAAGCATCTGCAGGATGTCTGTTACAAGATCAAGCTTTGCCCACACCCAGACAGGATATGAGTTAATTCCTTTATAATTGTTTTACTAACAAGAGCCAGAGCCTTACCTAGAGAACTCTCTCTGGTTTCTTCCTGGTCTGTGTCTTTTTAATTAAAAGTCTCTAATTTATTAAAACCAAAACTGAAGTCAGGACAGTAAATCCCTAAACGACCTGGACCCACAACAGAAGAATAGCTTGTCCAGGGCTAGGTGCCCACACCTGTGTTCGCAGTCTCAAGTAGAGAAGCCAGAGGTCCAGACCCAGAATCTCTACCATAAACTGTGCTGTTGTGGTCACAACAAGACTTAGTAAGGTCAACCACAAACACCTGTGCCCATCTGCAACCTTCTATAAAGGACCTCCTTAATCATAAATCAGGACTAGTTAGAGTTATTGTAAATCCCGATCTCTGCCCTCCATCTGATGTTAGAAATATTTTCTAACTGGAGCTCTCTGTCAGCGCAAAATCCCAATCAAGCCGAATCAAAACAAACCAGATTAAAAGATGTCCAGCTTTAATGGGACTCCTGCACTCTCAGGTGGCCTTCAGGGGAACCAGGAAGCTGCCAACGTGATCACCAGGGGAAAGAGGGAAAACCACGAAGGGACTTTCTGGGGAGCAGTTTAAATAGACTGGGGATGTGGTCCTGACCTCCTCTGGGGAGGGGTCAAGGTTTGGTGGGCTACCTTGACCCTTCTCGGGGTGGTGTCAAGGTGCAAGGGGCACAGGGCCTCCAGAGATGGAGGCC